TAAAAAAAATTTTTTTGAATGATAATTTTTCAAAATTTAAATCACAGTTCTAAACTGTAGGCGCTGGAAGAGATGGGTGCTGTGATCAGGGGCGGAAGAGGGGGGGTGATGTTAAAAGTTATAAGTTAATCTCCTTATCTCATGATTGTAACTATATAAAATACTGTTATTAATATTAAAAGAAGAAATAAATATGCATATGCCATATACCCTATGGTGTATGCTGTAATAAAAAGTTGTGTCTCTCCCGCCTCAAATCATAATCAGAACCCTCAAAAATAGTATGAAATTCCAATGCAGTAAAAGTTCCTTATTCACGATTTCCTTATTCGCGTTTTCATTATTCGCGAGTGAAAAAATTGCAACCCACTTCCTGTATTCACGGCTAAAAATTTCATTACTCGCGGATGCAATTGGTAAACAGAAAAGGACTCGGTGTCATTTATTAAGGGGATTGACCGCAATAGACCGCTCATGCTTAGTGTAAATTTTTACGAAAACATGGGTTTCTATTCTAAACATTGTGATTTAACGTTACGAGATAAATATCTAATTTTTTATATGACAAAGGTTCACACTAACTCGGTACGTTTTTGGTTTTCAATAATATGGTCATTAATAGCTTTTACGAGTGGTTAAACTTGATGCTTCTTGTAGGACACGTATTTTCAATAGAAATTAAAAAATTCAAAAATGGCCTTCGACAAGCTTTCGAATAAAGCTTTATCCATCTTACTACAAAATNTTTTGGTTTTCAATAATATGGTCATTAATAGCTTTTACGAGTGGTTAAACTTGATGCTTCTTGTAGGACACGTATTTTCAATAGAAATTAAAAAATTCAAAAATGGCCTTCGACAAGCTTTCGAATAAAGCTTTATCCATCTTACTACAAAATTTTAAACCTCTGTTACAAACATTAAACTCATAATATCTAGAACCGATAAGCATGTTTTTACTCTACGGCACATGTACTACTGAATCCCCTTAATGTATCGGCATCTTTTGAGTATGCACGTGCCGAGGCAGCTTTTATAAAAGATGTAACCGAATGGACTAATTCAAATTCAAACCAAAAAATCACTAAATTTTTTAAACTTTTGCCTAAAACTGATTATAACTATTAATTTTAATTGCGAATTTCTCAATAAATTGATTTTATTCTGATATATATTGGTTTTATTTTGGAACATTAGAACGTATCCCTTGTGATTCCACACTAATTACCATTCCATATCCAGGGTTTCTGTATTCGCGACATATTTATGGAACGCATACCCCGCAAATAAAGAGCTTTTACTGTAATGTACTAGGAGATGTATAAAACTAATGCTTTCTGTGAATAAAATACTCTAACTTATCAGCCTATCTCCGGCGGACAGGGGCATTAAATAAACTCCAATTTTTCATAAATCTACCTAACCAAACAAAAACGCCACCAATGCAGGTAATTATCCAGAATTGGAGCAATTTTGAAAAATTATCATTCAAAAATTTTTTTTTATTCATGAACTGTCCCCCATTTTCTAATATCAAATTCTATTATGTAAAATGACCGAAAATCGATGAAAAAAATTTTGAAGCGATTTTAGTCTGGAGCCCCAATTCTGGACAATTACCGAAATGTCTTTCGATATCGCAGCATAAGTGGACAGCTCTACCAAAAATTACCAAATGTACAGAATTGTGAAAAATTTGCTTACCTCGGACGACATGGTCAACGGTGGCGCCGAATGCCTTTGTCTATAAACATTGTGCCAACATAAGCAGTCGGTTATAAAGTCACTGTCTTGCCAAGCCGTCTTGATTTCCGCGAGATCTAGCACCATGCTTACTGGACGATTTACGAGGATCTGTAACGAAGCAGAACACATAAATTACGTGACAGTGTCAGAAAATTAAAAATAATGTGTGGCGTATACCTCGACGTTCTTATTTATGACACTTTTAAAACCTTCTGATGGTCACGGTAACCCAAAAACTTTGCATTATGCCTTTACCTACACAATCAACGATTTTATTGAAAACATTTATTTTAAAATGTAGAACTCCTGTCCTGGACTCTAGTAAAAACTTCTAGTCTTTATTATTTACTAGCTACCCCCACGGTTTCGCCCGCTTGGAGTTCAGTTTGACTGTATGAGTAATATTTTATCAATTTTTGAATTAACTGTAAGATACAGGTATCTATATGTCGTTTTGGACGTTTTTACGGGCCGTTTTTAAATTTAATAACTTTTCATAGAGAGAATCTTACAAATAAGGCAGGTTTCGTAAGAAATATATTGGATTGACCGCTTTTTTTGTTGACTTTCTTTGTAAAATTGGTCTCCACGAAAAGCGCTTTTATTGTAACGGAAAATGTACAGCCTGTATCAGTTCTGAAGATCCATTATAAATGTTGGTGATGAAACTTTTGAAACTGGATCTCCTACATCTAAACCTACATACTACAGCTCTTTACAATATTAGTATAGGATATGCAAAGGGTGGTTGGTGTATGGGTGCTGCAGACTGCCGAAATGCCAAAACATAATAGACAGTTATAAAACTTATTTACTACGAATTTTCTAATGACTTGATGACCTTTTTTGTTTTTGGAGTACAAAGGAAATTTTTGAGATACTCATCCGTCCGTGTTTGAGTGGGTAGTATTGGATTCTCTCCGAAGACGACCTACCAACTATAACATGTCCCCTGACTAACTGGACACTCATCTCCACTCTTTATATCCTGAGCTAAAACTAGGATAACTCACATCCTTAAGTATTTGTGAATGGTAATCTAATGTCTATCTCTACTCCTTTGAGCTCTTGTTTCTGCTTCAAATATGTCTCTGACTAGCCCTTCACATCTGAGAAGGTGTGCTACCAACCTATCTCATCCCTCTTATTCCCTTTTTACTTATTTACTTTTCTCTGTTGCTGCTCAAGTTCTATAATTGCCTGTTGCTCTTTATAGGAACTATATATATCGCTCTTGTATATTACATTTTTAAGTAGACATCTTGTCCCATTTAACATTGTCAAAAGCTTTTCCTAGATCTACGAATAATATGTACTCGCTCTTTCCCCTATTCTATCTATTTCTCTATTGTTATCCGTAAAGCTAAAATGTCCTACTGTGTTCCACTATTTCGTCTAAACCCAAATTGGCCTTCCACTAATAGTTCTGACACTCTTTTCTCAATCCTTCTCTGTACAATTCTAGTTAAGATTTGTGACGTATGGGAAGTTAATTTAATTGTTCTAAATTTCTCGCATCTATCTATTTAAAATATATATATTTTAGATAAAATTGAATATTAATTTTCAAAGTTTATATCTTTAAAACAGTTGACGCAGTTAAAATATTTGTAAAGAATTTAATTTATTACTAAGTTACCCGTTAACTGTTAATACAGAATTTCCCAAGATCAAGGGTAGTAAAGTTAAAAAAAAAGCTATTTGCACGAAACAATATTTTTTCCCAAAGTTAAACCATATTTAACATTTTCTTTATCGATTTATGTAAAATAATATTAGATGGATTTTATTTTTTTTTCTATTTCTTCTTGAATTGGAAACTATCACCTTGAGAAGTTCTGAAAAGAACTTAAAGGCTTTTACACCATCGGAATACATAATGCATAGCTATGAGTAACTTGACGACAAATTAAGTTTATAAGATCCATAATAGGTTTCTGTTGAGTGATCCTCTTGACCTTTTGCCAACTTAATGCATTATTGTGAAGGGAAAGGTTACGTTTTAATTCAAAGAGGGAATGAGATTGGTATCTGGAAAATCATGGTCTAGCGTGCTGTGCTGCGTTTTCTCATTAGCATATGAAACGACTTGATTTACGGCTCTCAGCATTTCAAATCCTATAAGGAAGAAGTTACTTTTGAAGTTGAAAGGATTTTCCCGGTTTGGTTCTAATTTTTTTTAGATCTAAATCAGGGTCGTACCTACTCATAATTCAGAATAAAAACGGTAGTGTTGCAACAGACTTCTTCTTCCGCGGAAGTTCCGCATTCTTTTTCACATCCGCTTCTGCATCTGGTTCCGCATTTTTATATCAGAAGCTTACGGAAACTCAACAAATCATACATCATAATCAAAATCATTTTATGGAAACAATAAAACAAGTCGTAAAAAATTATTACTTTTATCTGTTAGCTGAACTTGATCGGTTTTAAAACGTTAGAACGTTGCACTGTAATATTGTAAACGTATTATTATCAACCGTTTATGTTTACGAACTATTAGCGACAACTTGAAGCGCTAAGCCTGCAAAATATTGTTAATAATAATATTGTCTCTGTGAAAATAACTTTATTACAGTTCAGAGCCTAAATCTATTTCCTGACATTTCGTATGTTGATATTTTCCAAATTTTATTATCTTATTGGCTTCCCACTTTAATGTAAAAATGACCCCTTCTTAACAATCCTCCTAATAATTCCATTTCCAAAATACTAACATAGTTTTAGCGTTTATTTATTTTGTATGGTGTTTGTTCAGTGTTTTAAGTTTTAAGTTAAAAGTACAAGTTTGAAGTCAAAAAGGAATCTAATTTTTTGCCCCTGTATATCTATCCCTACAGTTGTCCTGCCTTTAATGATGATGATTGTTTCTTCGATATGTAGATTAAAAAGTAGCGGTGATAGTGTGCATCCTTGTCTGACTCCCTTCCTAATATTTACTTCTTTAGGTTCCTTCTGGAACTCTGTAACTGCCTGTTTCTCTTTATTCAAACTACTATGTACCACTTTTCTGTTTCTGTATCTCATCTCTACATTTTTAAGCATATTTAACATCGTACCCCATTCTCTATACTGAAACACCTTGTGCAAGGAAAATTCAATACGTTTTTTTGGTTCGATAATATTATTATTCAGTGAAGGTGAAGGTCAAAATTGCGTAGCTATTCACTGCAAATTATGTGTTCAAAGTGTGGGACAAATCTGTCCGTCTACAACATACACTTCAAGATAAACATACGTAATTATCCTCCAATAGAACTCAATCAAAAGCGGTTAATTCTATGCTTACCTTACCGGAATAAATTGCGGCACATTACCGAGAACAAATGAGACGGAAATCATGGCCTACAAAACTGATTGTTTCGGTAGACGTCTGCCAATAAATTAAACCAGTCCATTTGCAGCACAATTGAATTCTAATAACGAAATTTGCTTCAATTTATTGTACCATCTACATATATCTATACGATATTAAATTTGGAAAATGAAATTACATGCATTATCAAATAACAGACCTAACCTACCGTTTATTCGTTAAAATTGGTTTTTATGTTTTTGTTTGAATTTTTTTGTGGAAGAAAAGTATAAGTACGTGTTTTTTTTTAATTTAATTATATCGTCAGTCCTAAGACTGGTTGGATACGCACCTCCACTCTTTCCTAACCTGAGCTAATCTTCGCATTTCCGTAAAACTAGAACAACCCATATCCTTAACTATTTGCGAACAGTAATCTAATCTAGGTCTACATCTACCCCTTCTAACTTCCATTTCAGCCCTTTATATGTCTCTGACTAGACTTTCTTGCCTAAGAAGGTGTCCTACCAACCTATCTCGCCTATTTCTTATTGACTTCCATAGAGAGTCCTCTGTTCTCCTTATATTTCTAATACCTCTTCATTTCTAACCTTCTCCATCCACGATATCCTCATTATTCGCCCGTAACACCACATTTCGAGCGCTTCTAACTTTTTTTTTCCGCCGTCAATGTTTCGCACCTGTATAGCGCCGGGCTCCAAGCATACACCTTTAACAACCTTTTTCGAATTTCTAAGTTAACCGTTCGCGAGCATAAAAGTGTCTTTTTTTATTGAAGGCGTCTCGACTTGGCGCTATCCTCTACTTTATATTTCCTACTGCTTACTACTCCTTCCGTCATGACTTATCTGACTTCCTAGATATCTAAAATCAGCCACTTCTTCTAATTTTTCGTTTGCTATCTTTATATTCGCTCTTTTCCCTTGCATACCAGTATCTTTGTTTTACTTTTATTTATTTTCATACAGTACTGTTTTGTTAATACCGCTTCCATTTTATTTAAAGAGTTTTTAATGTAGGTGTAGAGTGATTTTTAATAAAAGTAAAAAGTATTCATACAACAAATTCAAGTTATATTTGCAGTTTTTTTAAAAGACAATTTAATCAAACAGCCAAAAACATTATGCAGTGTAGAGGATAGTTTCAAATCCGAAATTGATCATGTTAAGAATGATCTGCTCCAGAATGCCTACCTTGAATACCCAAAACAATCAACGACATCATCATATAGGGTCGTCAGTCCTAAGGTAACCATAACATCCCACATGCTTAACTATTTATGACAATAATCTAATCTATGCTCGCGAACGGTTACTTTAGAAATTTGAAAAAGGTTGTTAAAGGTGTATGTTCGGAGTACGACGCTGTACGGGTGCAAAACATTGACAGAGGGCGCATCGGAAAAGAAAAGGTTGGAAGCGTTCGAAATGTGGTGTTACCGGCGAATTATGAGGATACCGTGGATAAAGAAGGTTAGAAATGAAGAGATATTAGAAAGAATAGGAGAACAGAGAACTCTATGGAAGTCAATAAGAAATAGGCGAGATAGGTTGGTAGGACACCTTCTCAGGCTGAAGGTCTAGTCAGAGACATATTAGAGGAAGAAACGGAAGTTAAGAGGAATAGAGGTAGACATAGATTATATTAAGGAAATGCGAAGATTAGCTCAGGATGGGATAGAGTGGAGGCGCGTGTCTAACCAGTCTTAGGACTGACGACCTTATGATTATGATGAATCTAATCTAAGTCTACATCTACTCCTCAGAACTCCAGTTTCTGCTTTTAATATGTC